GTCCATTTGATTATGAATTGAGCCTATTGTGTTTAAATTAAATAATGACGATAGTAAGGAAAGCTGGACTCTATTAACTGTACGTTTACCACTTCTTTGTTCTAATATGAAGCATTGTATTTCAAGCATTGAGCGTCTCTTGATGTCGATTATTACGTGATACACTCTACCATGTCTTTAGTGTTTCCGAGTGCTCGACTAAGTTACCATAGTGACAACCATTATAATTTTCAGATCGGTATAATATCATTCAGTAATTAAATATAAAAATCTGGGGAACTTGGGTTGCTTCTCCCACTGCTGGAGAAAGTGGACAAAGAACTTTGAGAAAAATCTTGAACCTGTATACTAGTGAATTCTTGTTTGTAGTAATCCCTCTCGTGACAAGCACGCTCGATCTGCTGCCGCAGGCGAGTTACTTCAGCTTGCAGTAACCGATTTTTTCCCTCTATTTCATGCCTTTGAGAAAGTCGTTTCGTCCTACAGTTTTGGGCATAGCCCCGATTTTTTAGTGTCCTTCGCTTTCTTTTGATAAGTGCCACTTCCTCGCGGGAGTATCCGTGTAAGCGCTTGTTCAGCTCGCGCACTGACATGTGAATAAGCAATTCGTCATTAAGATGAGAGTCTCTGTATGAGTGATGTGTTGTGAGAGAAGGATGGTAACATTCTATCCCTGCGTTAGGAGGTTCGTTCAGAGGTTCAGATGATAAGAGAAATGGTGCATGGCTTGAATTGCGAAGACCGGTAATCATATGGTAAGACTGCGATGGTTGGTTTAATTGTACTGGAAGCTCCGAGACGTTCCTAGGCATTAACCAGGTATCATTCATCTCTGATCCACAATGAGGCCGTAGGTCTAGAGGCTTCTTAGAGGACAGACCTTCAACCCGCAAAGACTTGGCTAGCCACACTACACTGTCATCTATTTGACTTGGTATTTTAGAGGTTACCATAGTGGGAGTCATTGTGGCAAAAGCTGAAGATGGCTGGTCATGCAGGAGTGATCCTGGAGTGTACTCCGCCAATGCCCCAAGTTTATGTGAACCTGGTGATGTTTCTCTTAAAGAATGACTGACAGGCACATCTTTGTTGTTATGGAGTACAATGGAGCCCGTGGAGACTAAAGAATGGGAAGAGTCTTCTATTATACGGGACATTCCTCCAAGTGTGAACCGAGATTCCATATCATGTTTGACTACCTCTTCTAGCTGATCTAAGTCAAAGTCATGCACGTTGTCTCCAGTCATAGCGCCCCAAGGAGGCCTACTGAACCCCGTCACTGTTGCTCCGGTGGTCTGCATCGGAGCGGCGCCCACTGCGAAGATAACTAGGTCTTATATGTTACTTGTATTACCAATAAACGTTGAAAAACTCGACAATGAAAAAATAAGTAACCAAGTACTTTCTTCATTAAAATTCTATTTTAACTAAATAAATCACAATTTTGAAAGTAATTTTAAGCAATTTACTTTGACTTTTATAAAGACAAAGAACTAATTTTCTGCAAAAAAAAATGTGCTGTTAAATGATGCGCGCCACGCCAGTCAGCCAACACTTCTTGGTGTAGTTCAGACTTGGTTGCCTGTAGACTTTGTACAGCCAGGTGATATATCAGGAAAGAGTGACGTCACACCCGTCTTTCAAACACCTTATTGGCACCTTCGTATATTGAAGTAGTCTACGTCGTCTTGACGTCAAGGCTGGTGGTAAGAACACGTTAAACGAAAAAAGAAACAAAAAATATATATTCTTCAATTTCGTAGAATAACAAAATAATTTTAATTCGACAACATTTATTTGGACAACAAAACTTGCTACTTAAATATATTTCCTTACTCCAAGTGTAGTATAACATATACACATTTTAACAACAAATATTGGATTAGACTATATTTCTCGCCAGTAATTGTAGTATAACGTTTAGAGATGTTGACTATAAATATAATAGCATTCCCATATCTTGATGACAAGATAGTATTAGACTATATATGCCTGACAATAATTGTAAGTTAACGTTCATACGTGACATTATACTTTATTTCCCGACAGTAACTGCAATATAACGTTTACAAATCTTAAGGACAAATAGGATATCGTATCTCATTAACGAATGTAAGATTAGGCTATATTTCCGGGACAATGATTTTTTCCGTGATGACGTAATTATTTTATGGCAAAAGTTTATGTTATTTTTTCATAATAGGTCCATATATTGACTATAAAAAGGTTTAATTATCTTTATGTATGTTTTTTAGAGCAAAATTACATTGGGCTATCTGTTTTGTTAATCACGAGAATAGAACCCCAGATTTTAGCATTGTAAGTATAAAAAGAAAAAGTTCAAAACTTTCTATTTTAGTTAATTTTTATATACTATCCTTTTCTTTCAAATAAAAAAAAGGGCATTTCAATTAATGTTTATGTTAAAATGAAAAAGGTCTACTCTTTGTTACCTGAAATTTCCGGAGAAGTGTCCAATCTCTATTTATTAGTCAGCAGTTCATATGGGTAGGACCGTAGGAACAGTATACATCACCAGAACACGTGTTGGAGTGTTATACACCACCAGAACACATGTGTAGGAACATTATACATAATCAGAACACGTATGTATAAATATTATACATCACCAGAACATGTGTTGGAGTGTTATACACCACCAGAACACATGTGTAGGAATATTATACATAATCAGAACACGTATGTATAAATATTATACATCACCAGAACACGCGTTGGAGTGCTATACACCACCAGAACACATGAGTAGGAACATTATACATAATCAGAACACGTATGTATGAACATTATACACCACCAGAACACATGTGTAGGAACATTATACATAATCAAAACACGTATGTATGAATATTATACATCACCAGAACACGTGTTGGAGTGCTATACACCACCAGAACACATGAGTAGGAACATTATACATAATCAGAACACGTATGTATGAACATTATACATCACCAGAAGACGTGTTGAAGTGATATATATCACGAGAACACCTATTGGAATGGTATACATCACCAGAACATATGAGAAACATTATACATCACCAGAACACATGTGTAGGAACATTATACATCAACAGAACACGTGTAGGAGCATTATACATCACCACAACACATGTGTTGGAGTGTTATACATTACCAGAACATATGTGTAGGAGCATTTTACATCACCAGAACAGATATGTTTGAGTCTTATACATCATCAGAACACATGTGTAGTAACAATATACATTACTCGATCATATGTGTAGGAGCATTATAAATCACCACACTACATGCTTCAGAGTTTTATACGTCACTAGACCACATGTGTAGGGTTTTTTATACATCATCATATCACACGTTTAAAAGTGTTATACGCAACCAGATCACATGTGTAGGAGCGCTATTTTGTCGATATTTCAGACTTATGGATAGTAAATAATTAATTCATTATTTACTCTCACGATTATGAGTAATACACAGTCAGATCATAATCTCTTGCAATCAACCACCATGAGCAACAATTGGAATACCTTTTACATATAGCCTACACAGTAAAATCTAATTTTGTAGTGTTACAATAATCTTGGACCAGCCATCCAGAGTAGGATGTATCACTCTTCTGATATTCATTTCAGTTTGTCACCATACTAATAGGAGTTTCGAAAGATGTAGAAACCATAATTACTACCCCCTCCTTCCAAAAATGTACACAAGGAATAGCACAGTGGAACAAAATAATCAAAGTCCAAAGAAAACAAGAAGGAAACATATAAACGAAAAGCAGATGAAGACCTCAAATTAAAACCAAAATAAGTTAAGATGCTGTAGTTATTTAATAAAAGCTGAAACATTTAGAAGTTAAATGCTCCAAAATGATCTAAATTAAGCACAGTTAATGGTATGTAAGAGGGAAAAAAAGGAGTTTGCCAAGATACAAGGCTGCTTTTTATGCCATCTGGTCACATGATCAGAATTGTCTTCGGTGTTGGAGTGGACTCTTAAAAGTCGCATTAGATTTTCTGTATTAACAACCACAACAGGCAAATCCAGTTGGAACAGCTTCATATTCTTCTTGTGACTGTTTAATCAGTTATCTCACTAGGTCAACATGGTTGTCAGCAAGATCGACCATACCAGTGAAGGGATATATATATATACTACAGAGGCATATCTGAACAATGGGTTGGTGGTTGATATCCTGTTCCAAACCAACGGTAGCGAAAATAAACAAATTTAGTAATATATCTAACCTAAACTGTATAGTTTATGATATAAGCATATCATCATTCGCTCTTTCTCCACTTTCACAGCTGACCACCAATAAGCATGTTTACACCAGTCATCCAAATATACCACCATTTACTTACATTTACTTACCACTACTTACACAATTCATGACTCAGCAGTAGGTAAGCTGCCTAATTTTGTAACAAACATTAAGGAATAATATTTATGGGAAAATTAATAAAATATCTCTATAAACAATTAAATGAATAACAAGAACAGAAATAAGGAAGTCTCACTCGATTTATATGAATAATAGATTAAGGCAAGGAGAAAGACCATGAAAATAATTTCATGTTTTTATTTCACAAGATAATTTATCTGATGGTTTGGGAAACAAGATTTGTAACTCATCATTATGTGTGTATGTTATAGCCATTTTAACTGTTGTCGAGTCTCAGCCATAACATGCTGGAGGCCAATGGTATGGTTATGGCTAGTCTTCAGGACAAGTTCATCTGCTGAATGCCAGCTTCTCTTCTTATAGCTTATTATGATAAGCCAAGAAAGTGCCAACATGACCATCTTCCTCATCAACCGGATTAAGATAAAAAAGCAGGAATAATTTCCTTGGATTTTACTGACTCTTAATCTATGTAGGCAATGATTCCTGATCGTATCATAATTTCAGCAGCTCAGCTGCTCTGAAACTTATTGTTTCAAGTTATCTTCATCTTCAACACTGATCCCTCCACTACTGTAGAGTTGAAACTTTTAGCATAATGGGCTGAGCTGTTGAATGGCGAGGTAGGAGTCAGACCATTCAGAGCTAATTGGACAGTGCATGCTAGAATACACACTGCCTCTTTATTCAAACTGGCACTCTTTTGTCATCTTTTCATAACCCTGTCATTGTGATATCACTATGATTCCTACTTCACAAAACACAACAAAGCATATAACAATAAGCATTTACAATGGTTGCTCTAAACCAGTCAAATATTAACATCAAATGGTGTGAGAAGCAACCAATAGTTGTTGCACATGGTCTGGGTATGGTGCTGGTGAATGAATACACTCTGACCCATTTCAAGAAGTAATCTTTAACGAACTGTACCTCTTCTAATTTATTGGAGAGATCTGTCAATATCTAGGGATGTTCAGTGACATGTGAAGTCCACAGCGCCCCGTTAGAGTTCATTTTGGAACAATTGAGTTTTTTGAACAGTGCTCACAGTACAAGGTTAGCAACTCCTCTTTACCTCCTGACATAGCTGCTTTTACTAGGTTAGTTGTAGTGCATGACTTTTACTGATGTCATCCTTTCCTTTCAATGCAAGGTCTGAAAATTTCCCATGGAGAGGTTTCCAAACCGCTAACTGCATAGCATGTTAACCCCAGTGTCTGTGCAGTCCATGCCTTGTCATATTTGCAATAGCACAGCTCCAATCTTTACAGGTTCTGTAAATGATTCTTCCTTGTTTATACTTTTTGTGCATATTTTCAGGTATGCTCTCCATGTCCACTAGGATACCACTCTAAGGCTCTCAACTAGGGCTTCAAATAAGTAAAATGTGGTCAGTACTTAATGAACTTACCATATATCTACAGCGTATTTCTTACAGTCCATACTCTTAGATAACTTCTGCACTAAGTGCATACTCAAAATGCTAATGCTCTTCTTCAAACTAACTATTATTTCATTTGACCACTTACATCAAAGCAGTCTGTATTGGGTATAACTAAAATGGACTTTGCTGACCAGAGTAGATGCATGCAAAGTAGTACCTGGTTAGATTGAGAAACGTCCTGGCTATAACTATATATTTACTAACACTTCTACAGTGTATCTGTGTAAATGCATTGGTGCATACCAAACAAAGCTCTGTGCTGAGGAACATGTGTGACACTCTCTAAGGTTGGTGGCCAGAGCTGATATTCTGCACTCATAATGGCCACAGCCCCTGTCAGTGGCACATTTTCCTGACCTTCGTTTGATATGGTCTTGGCCAAAATATCTGCATATCTTGTAACAAAGAAGATCATTGTTATTAATATGGAATACAAATACACTTAGCACTGACAAAATGAGAAATGCATGTTATATTTAACATCTGCATATGTAATTTCTGTAATGAGACAGATTCTATGAACATTACGAATGATTTATTAGAACAACAAACAATTTTATCATAGACCTGTAAAAGACGTGTAATTCAGCATTTCACCTATTAGAACAAAACCTTACCAAAACATATATAATGACAAATATAATATCAAATTATTATAAATA